CACCCTCCTTCTTCGCCGTGTGACTTCTTCCTCTTCCGAAAGATGAAAATTCAGCTAAAGGGAAGGAGATTTGAGACGATAGAAGAGATTCAGGCAGAATCGCAGATGGTGCTTGACAGGCTGACAAAGAAAGATTTCCAGGGATGCTTCCAGGCTTGGCAGCGGCGCTGGGATCGTTGTGTTCACTCCCAGGGAAACTACTTCGAGGGTGATGGATGAATTTAATACCTGAGATAAGTGTACGGGTTTTTATACGCGCAGTCTGGAAACTTTCCGATCGCACCTCGTATGTCATGTAAAATGTTTTGACTAGTGACACCTACAATGGTCAAATATGAATTGCATGAATTTTAAATCTGTTACAGTGACATAGAACAAACTGCTCACAGGTTTTAATTATTTTAAATGTAGTCTGATTTCCGCTATGACCTGTATAATTTTAATCCAAGTTCATTGGGAAATATATTAAAAGTAAATTACTTTCATGCGTAAGTCAATGCTGTCACAATGACTTATCAAAAATAAAGCAACTTGAAGATGACTACACATTAGTGAAAATGTGTAATGTGCCATGTATGGTGTGAGTATTGACAGTTACATAAATTAAATGCAGAGTATCTTGATTTGTCCTGTATTAATTACTTATTCATGCACAAACACAGTTCATGCCCTTCCTGTAGATTTGGTCAATAATTTATGACTTACCTCTATACAAATTAGTGGATTCTTCAACAAGTAACAAACAACACTCAGTGCTCTGCGAGACAGGGTAGTATTAGAAAAGTATTCGAGTAAAGAAAAACGAAAGCACGTTAAATCTACATTTGAAGCTATTACGTCTTGTTTCATAACACATTGCACAGCATACAACAGGTATTATTGGAAGAATATAATGTAAGTAAATGGATCATTGTATTATTCAAAAATAAATACAAATCAAGTTATTTAAAAAAAATTCATTGTCTTGCTGCTTTTGTATAAATGAAACATGGTAACTTAATCTGAGGAAAATAGAGAACATTTCACTTTATGACATAAAGTATTCACTTGATACTGTAAGAATAAGTAAATCTAGGACTTTATGATGCACCTGATGTAGATAGGTACTAAGTTTGTCGGCTACTTAATATAGCTGTACAAAAGTATACAGCACCATGTCAATGAATAACCTGACAAAATAAAAATACCATGAATAAAAAAATTTACAGATTTCTAATTCCACAGATAAACATTTCTCCACAGTATGAAATCTGCTCTATGTGGTAGTTCCTTTCTGAATATCACTGAGTAAGAAAATCATGTCATTGGTAAGTATACACACCACAAAATAGTATTCCACTCTCAGATGCTGAATCATTTAGAACTGCGTTAGTGGCTTCATTTCCCATTACATCCACATAACACAGAATGGAAAGTTTTGTAGTTGACCCTAGGAGGGGAAGAACGTGGGTAAGATTTTGTTCTAACATCTTCCCTGATTAATATTTTCTGAAAATATGACCCATTTTTTTAACATATTGAATATTGATATGTGTTTAGATGAGAAATATTTAATTGTACAAAATGTTGTTTTTGTCATTGTAATGATTATTATCCAGAGTTATATTATGTCACTTTCCATTGTTTGTAAAAATTAACTTCTCCACAATCACTGCATACAGATAACATGGCCAGTTAGCAGAGGAACTTGACACATGCTATAGAAGCATAAAAGTCCTGTTCACGTGTGTCAAATCTCCTTCCCTTTAGCTGAATTTTCATCTTTGGGACGAGGAAGAAGTCACACGGAGCTTAGGAAGGAAGTTGGGGTCGGTTCTTGCAGGATCTTTGAGCTCCTGAGAAACGAGAAGTCGATTCTGCTTCTGGTCCTCAGACAGGAGCCTTGGTTTCGCATGTGGAGTTCTTCCTTTAGAATCAGCTGACAGGTCCCATAGCCTATCCCAACAATGTCGGACAAGTCGTTTATGGTACGACGTCGATCTTCGTGAATGGCCTGCCGAATCTTCGTAACATTTTCGGGCGTTGTGCTCGAAGATGGTCGTCCAGAACGCTCGTCATCATCGACAGAGGTTCGGCCATTTTTAAAACGTGAATGCCATACAAAAGTTTGTGCACGACCCATTGCGGACTCCCCAAATGCTTGCTTTGGCATTTCATAGGTTTCCGTAGCCGTTTTGGCGAGTCTTTGGCAAAATTTGACTTGTTCATGAAAATCCGCCATTCCGAAATCGCAGGAGGGTCGGTGTAATGCACTACCAAAACGCCCGTAACTAAGAAACAAATGCTAATTCGGTGATGCCGGCTGGCACACTGATTCACTATGAATGTAGGCCGCACCCCCTAAAGGCAGAAGCTCGTACTACATCCGGTTCGCCCGCTATTGACACAGTCTTGAAACTTTCTGATCGCACCTCGTATTGTAAAAATATACAAATGCACATGGCTTATGATAGTATAGTAGCCTGTCATTTGCCAACATCTAGTCTGATATACTTATTTTCTTCATGATCTGAATTAACTTGGTTTAGTAGTAATGGGACAGAAGAAACAATATTGTCCTGAACTAACTCTTCAGGGCTGTATGCTTAACGGTCTTGAATAGTCTGTATTGTTCTTAAGAAATCAGAGTTATTTTGGTTTATTAGTTCCCACATCCTTCCTAGTCTTTTAAGTTTCCATTTTCAAGAAATTTCCCCACAAAAATTTTGTATATACTTCCTGTTTCTCCTGTCCAAGTGATATGGCCAGACCTTCATAACAGCCTTCATTTAACTAGCCTTAGAAGGAAAAGAATACAAAACACAATTGTTCATGATGTAATTTTCTCCATTCCTAACTTTCTTCAACTTTCTAACATCAAAAAGTTATTTCACACATGAACCATATTAGCGCATTATGTCCTCCAGAAAGAGCAACAACTATGGATAAGAAAAGCAAAGCTCCATGTAAAAGCAACATCCTGGAAACATTTCGCGGTGCTCGGGTCCTTGTCACTGGAGGAACAGGATTCGTGGGTCAGGTGCTAATAGAGAAACTGCTCCGCACATGCGAAATAGACAAACTCTATATAATCGCCAGACCCAAGAACGGAATGACAGAAAAGGAACGTCTTGAGAAAATATTTGATGATCATGTAAGTTTATGCTTTGTGTTATTCTGATTACTCCAACTAAAACCCTCAGATTAAATTTGTAATATGTAGAATTGCTAAGTTAACAAGATTGTGGTGGCACAGCGGTATAACACATTCAGTTTAAAGTTGAGGAACTGAGTGTTTGCTTCTCACTATGGAGATTCAAGTGCAATTCCAAGGTAATTCAAGCTGTAAAGGAGATAATGACATGATCTGCTATGATAGAATATAAAAAAAATTAAATTTAAATCCAGACAAAGGAAATGATTAACACCCGTAATGAGGTGGAATTATTCTCATTCATAACATCAACTGAGTGTACAAGAACTCAATAATGATTATTTGTTACAATCTCTGTAACAGACATAATGTTACAGTCAGAGTATAAATCTTGTCCTTCAAGACAGCCTTTGCTTTATTGCAGCTGTATAGACGAGTGAAGCATGAACAACCAAACTGCATGAGTAAAGTAGTCCTGGTCAAAGGTGACTGTGAACAACGAGAACTTGGACTGAGCAGAGATGACCATGCTGTTTTGGTCGAAGAGGTCAACATAATATTCCACTCTGCAGCCACAGTTCGGTTTGATGCCAAACTCTCTACAGCTTTTGCCATAAACGTTCTAGGAACTAAGTACTTACTGGATATGGCCAGAGAAATGCCACATCTGAAGGTGAATCACCACACTGTATGAAGCTCATGTAGTCATTATCTGTATAAAATTCTAGAACCATGCATGCTACCTGATAACACATGCTAACTGATTGTCATAAAGTTACTGCATAAACAACCCATATAATTTCAGGGCTTAATTCCATTGCAAGAGAGCTTGCTTGTGATTGATTGATTAGTTATTTATCAGTATCACTATTAAAACATAACAGGACAGTTGTCTGCACTGTATCACAGACATTTCTACGCAGTCTCGGTACATGCCCAGCCTCAGGTTCACAATGAAAATGTCAATAGTGCTGTATCAGGTGTACATATACGTGAAGAAGGAAACAGAAATAAATATTTGTTACTCCTTTTTTATCTTATAGCTACATTACAACATATGAAATACAAGAATACGATGGACATTACAAATATAATATACTAGAATACAGTACTATAATTTTAGGTCAAGATTGGCAATCCATTCAAGTACTGGTGGAGAGGCTAGGAGGAAATCTGACTGTTCCCCTGGATATGCCCTCAGGTCATTCCTGTACAATATGTTTAATGGTCTGATGACTCGCACCACAGTCACAGTTGGCTGTTTGAATTTTTCCCCATTTGTTAAGGACATCTGCGTATACACCATGGCTGGTACGGATCCTGTTGAGGGTTTTCCATGTTTGTCAAGGAAGGCCTTGGCCTGTTGGTAATTTCTGAGGGTTTATATGGCTGTTTACATCAGGAGGAGTTAGTTCGGCCCAGTTACTCCTTATTTTTCTGTCACACTAATTGACATTTAATGAGTGAAATGTCAGAAGTGGAATATCACAGAAGACTTCGAAGGGAATCAATTCTGTGTATGAATACATTAAATGAAAGCATTTTCAGTAAGGTAATCTCAGCACTAGCAAATAATGCCCATCTATTAAACTCATTTTAGAACAACTCCAACCGCATTACAACTTCAGAATACAAAATGTTTACATACAATTGAACCATACACAATTATGCACCCCCCCCCCCCCCCCCCAACCATTCAGAATCACACATTCTATACAGAAAGATTTATATTCAAAAACCATAAAGCTTTAATTTTATATATTTAAAAGACTTGATATTGTTGGAGGTTCACTTCATATTCTAATACAAAATGAGGAAATTTCAGTGCGGTGGAGAGCACCCTTGCATCATATACAGGAAACACCTGTTTCTTGACTATAGATTGGTTGAACTCACTGAGGGAAATGTTACAGTAATACAGGGCATTCTTTTCAAGAGTGAGATGCTTCAACCATCAAATTTGCATGACCTGTAACACAGCGTGGTCCAACTGGTGGCAAAATCTGACCTGCGAAAGTATTTGTTAATTTGTTTCTAATTAGTAAAAACACATTTTCTTTTCTTTTCGAAGTTGACATTCCGTCAATGATAAAAGAACATTCTGCTCAGTGCTCTCACTAAAGCTATTGACTTTAAAAGCATAAGATGCACGTTCTACTGGTACAAATTGTTAAAGTATCAGATACAAACTGTTAAAGTAGCGGAGTTCAAATAATTTGCGTAAGTTTTCCAGGTAAAAATTTTGAGAGATACAAGCTGTTGCAGGATCAAATTTAAAATAATATACAACTATGTAGTAGTTTGTGCACATTTAAATAGAATTTATATTTCAGTATATGCAATGGTAAATTGTCATTTTTGAATGAGTATTATTAAAGATAACGACTATGCAGAAATAGTGACAGTAGCAGTTTCTTGGTCCTTCGGCAAACAGGAAAACTATTCTCGCCCGTGCAAGGAAAAAAGTTGGACCACCCTCCTGTAACATATAAGTATGCTTCTCAGCTGTACCTTAACATTAGAGATGATAATAATAACAGTCTGTTCTGGTTCCAAGAAGACAACTATTATCTAGGACCAAGTTCGTTGAAATATAATACAAGTACCTCATGCCATCCTTAAAAAAGTTCTCCTATTATGTAGATTTACTGCACAAATCATTTACAAGTCTTAAACAGTAATTAAATTATTATTGTTGCAGTGAATGAAAATGGGCCAAACCAGCAAAAGTAAAGCCCCTGGAAAATGTGAAGTAGAAGGGTTGATTCCATAAATTTTGCTTGCATAGATTGCATTTCACAAAATCAGGAACAATTGGACTAAATTAATTCCACATTTAACTTCTCTTCAGCCACTGAACAGATCATTCCAATGTGCCTCATAGCATGGCAACACCATAATAAGGAAACCAAACTTCCAGCCACAATTTCTGTTGGCAGTTTACCAAATAGACAGAAGCATAAGTCAGAGAAATATAGCTCTTGTTGCATTGTTTGTCACAATGTCAAAAAGCAGCATGACCAGCTGGCAATATGTGAACTGAGAGAAGCGCTTAACTGTGTGCAAAAAGAAAAAAATACTTTCTTCATCATCACAGAGACTTCTGCAATACAGTGCTCCCAACTTCCATTGGAGATACATGAAACTTGTTAATGTTTTAAGCATTAGTCTTAACTTGCTCCATGTAAATAACAGGTACAAAGTAATAGGGACGGGAAACACTCCATCTCTATAGTCTTCTTCATCCACCGCATCTAATTCTTCTTGTTCATTTCAGCACCTCATACATAATCTCTACCTGACACTAATAAATAATCTCACAACAAACATATTCCTTTGAAAAGCCGTAAGCAATTTTAAACATGAATACAAGGGAAATGAAAAGGATTATTAAACAAATTTTCTTGCACTTTGCAGGCATTTGTACATATTTCTACAGCATATTCAAACTGTGTAATAAAAGAGATTCACGAGCAGTTCTACTTGCCAGCTCTGAGGTGGACAGAGGTAGCACAGCTGATAGAATCACTGGATCAAGAGACAATTGAAACTATTACACCAATGTAGGTATTTCAACCACAGTTTCTGCTGAAGATGGCCGTCTTCTAGGTCATAGCACCATATAGTCTGGTTGAAGTTTACCAACGTTTCAGAGGTACCTGCTGCCTCCATCATCAGGGCACTGAGTTGGAGGCAGCAAGTACCTACAACCCGAAAGACAGCCATCTTCATACTCACCACTGTAGGAGCCTCAAATCCTACAAAGTTTCTATTCCACCAATAACCATGTTTTATAGAAACCTAACAATCCAATAAGCAGTAATAACATGTCAGACTAATGCTTGTTTGATGAAAGACTCTCCATATCTTCTGGCAACATTTCGAGAACAATCTCTGTTCTCATCCTCAGGGCTGCTGCATAACAAGTTTGATCCTTTGTAGCATGCTAGCCAATGGGAACTTCAAGTGTGCTACAAAGGATCAGATTTGTTATGCAGCAGCCCTGAGGATGACAACAGAGATTGTTCTCGAAACGTTACCAGAAGATATGGTTTATTCACTTTTCAGCCACCTGACGCAGCTTGTAACCCAAGAGTCTTTCAACAACTTCAGTTGCCGCGAAATCTTTACTAAATCCTTGTTTATTTAATACTTCCTCAACTGCAAGCAGTATTAGTTTCAAGTTTAAGTATAATTATGCATAACAAAATAGACATAAAACAAGAGGGAGGAGTCACAGCCTGTTTTAAGATCTTAAGAGATGTGATCAAAAAATTTCCATATTAATTTCTTCTATATTTAACATATTTAATGGCTATTCTATACTGTTCTTTTCAAAGTAGTTCATTTGCGAGCTGATACAGGAAGTCCAGTGATTTTTCAATTGTTGGAAGCATTTATGGAAGTGTACTGTATTTTATGATTTTTCTGATTGCAATGACATCATTAAATCTCCTCCTGTCAGGTACTAAGCAACTATCAAGTGTAAATCTGGAAAATATTGAGGGTAGGAAAAACAGTCATGCAATTTCCTAACAAGACAAAGCAAAGTAAATGCAAACATTGTCGTAGTGGAAAAACAATCTCCAGTGTGCTATTTTTCAAGACTTCTTGCCATAAATCTTACTGCAGACATTGCAAAACATATGCGTGGAACATAAAATATTATGTTCTCATGGTGGCAAGTATAATGAGGGCTGTCTTCTGGGTTGTTATGTCATGTAGTCTGGTAGAAGTTCACCAATGTTTTATAACCAACTTCAAGTACAGTAGAGTCCTGATTACCAACCAACATAGAACTGAAGGACTGACAAATAATAAAAAATGGAAGAATAATGAAAACAACATAGCAACTCAATTTGTGACATTACTAAATTATGACAAAACACAGTATGGCATCAAATAAAAAAGTTTATTTCACAGCACCCCGGATAAAATGGAATGTTGGGTAACTGAAGGTTGGTTAATCAGAACTGTACTGTATGTAGAAATGCTGATTTATAATTTCCAACATGTCCACAACACCTCCTCTACCCTTCTGGGGTAAAGCAGCCAGTGCATAAACCTCAGCACTCAACTTCACGTTTGTGTGAATCACGTACAACAAAAACATGTAAAATTGGAAATGTATGACAATCGCCATTTTTACATGAAACTGGCACCAGAATTCTCTGTTACCAAACTTACATCACAATCTCTGATAAGCCTGGAGAAGGTATGATGCAGGTAACAGGCCATTGAAATTTGGCCACAGACAGCATATCAGCGCTCCTAATACTGAAATAAAACCATGGATATGTAAATAGCAAAAGCATGTATAACGAGATCCCCCTATATAGAACTACTTAATGATTGTACACATTGTAACTCAAAACTGTTTCCAGTGTGCTAGGTGACTACCCAAATACATATTCATTTACAAAGTCTGTAACAGAGGATCTGATCAGAGAGGAAAGCAGAGGTCTTCCAGTAGGCATATTACGGCCTTCTATTGGTAAGTAGAGCACACTTACTACTCTTGCATTCATAAGGTCTAGGTAATCTGCAAATCTTCTCCTCAGAAAACGTGAGGTTACTCAAAACATAAGGTAGTAACCTTATGTTAAAGACTACATCTGAGTGACAATAAAAACTATTAGTTCCAGATTCATCATGTTTAACTTAAACTGATTGATTATTCAGTGATGTTTATGTTGTACAAAATTGTGAGGTTATGTAATGTTGAATGATATTGCAGGATGCTTTATTTATTTATTTTTATTTCTGGCTTACTTAATGATGCTGTAAGCAGCTCAGACTCTATAGTCAAATGACAGGATGATTCATGACTGATGAATTGGAAATAGCATAGAAGGTAGCCTGATTTGATTTCCAGACCCTAAAAAAACCCCTCTAAAATAGACAGTAGAAGACAAACCAAACAGCATTTTGAAAACATTACCTTATTTAATAATCATATAAATGTTAAAATTCTTTAAGCAAAATTATGTCAAATGGGGAAGCCTGTGTACTTTTATAATTTATCTTTTTCTGTTCTTGCATACAAAATATAAAATGATTTCATATGAAAGTAAAACTGTCAAATATTATATATACTGTAAATTACAAACACCAGTGTTATCTATTTCTAGGTTCTATTCAAATATTGACCTTGAGAAATTCACAAAAAGCCTCAGAATACATTCTGGACTTCTTTTCACAAAAAATGCAGGCCGCAGCAAACAGAGGGAAACATCTAGCTTCACATATAACTACTACACACATAATAAAAAAGAATTATTTATGCATTACAGACGTTCTTGTATGTTGGGTCAGAAAATGGATCAAATATAGAAAGAAAATTAGAGAGCAGACAGTTGAAACAAATCCCTCTGCAGATGATTACCATGTTAAGTTTAGTACAGGAACATACAATTACCCCCAGTTCATGTGATTGTTTTACAGTTGTTAGTACTGCAAGTGAACCTGTAGTGAGCTGGATCAACAATTTGTATGGTGCAGTAGGAGTAGTGACGGGAGCAGCATTGGGCCTTCTCAAGACCATGTATTGTGACAGTGATATGCCAGCAGACATTGTTCCAGTTGACATGGTCATCAACAATGCAATAGCTATTGCTTGGGATCTAGCAGAGCACACGTGAGTTGCATTTATATATATACAGTAAAACCCCTCAAGTTGGACACCTCTATATCCTGGACACCCCTTTATATTGGACACTTTTAATTGGAACTGGCAAATATCCTATAATTTTACATGTCCACAATACCCTATATCTTGTACACCCCTTTTTGTTGTAAGTTGGACAGGTTCATGCACTTAACTTCGATGCTTTTCAGGGAAACTTTTTCAGTTACATAGTTTGTTATTTTGAATTTCTGACTGATGAATGCCTCCTCTCTGGAGGATTATCTTATGGACATTGAACCCATCATTGGAATGCACTGCAAGTGTTTAACTATTCTTTTGCTGAACCCTTAACTGCAATATTGCAGAAGACACAGTTTTAACTCC